TGCTTATTTAATTATTGTACGTATGTATGAATGTATGAATGTATGCATGTATGTGGGGGAGTATGTATATGCCACACAACACCTGTGCAGGTCAGTGGACAACTTGTGGGAGTCAGTTCTCTCCTACCACATGGTCCTAAAGGTCACATTCACATTGCCAGGCTTGGTGGAAGCACCGTTACTCACTGAGCCATCTTGCCATCTCTGAAATGCAGTTTTAACACAGTTGGCCAAACATGATTTAAGTTGTTATTTTAGGATTAAAATACCTATTTGTCTATGTAGAGTTTTCTCTGGAGGTAGGTCTGTACCAACACTGATCTTATACTACACATAATATCAACACTGCATACTGGGGTCTCTCTGAATAGCCTGACAAGATTATGGTGCAAAACTATAATAATCTTTGTTCCTTTCCAACTGCCCTTTTGTGATTATAGACTTTGATAGTCACTAATTTAATGTAACATGTTGTCAAGGTTTATTTGCATTTTAGAGGAAATATGTGACGTTGTATAAAATCTAGTAGGTAACGACAAAAATTAAACTATAAAGTGAGAGGAAATAGTAGAATCAGTATTTTATGTAAGTGCTATTCTTCTTATTTATAAAAGCAGTCCTACATAGGACAGTGGATTATAGATGCAAAGTTAGTACAAAAAGCATGATCTGGCTATAGGGCTCTATCTTAGCTCTCACAAATGAGATCCTGTCTCTTCCCTTCACACCCTAAGAAATGGATAAACAAAATGTTGACATTTACCCTTAAACATCAATGACTAATTCTAAGGCCATACAATGTGTGAATTGTAGTTTTGTTTTGATTTTCTGTGTATTAATTTTTCTAACCTTTTAAGGGTTTGTCGAAGGAATCTGTCCAGAAATCCAGTCCCTTTGTAACTGAAGAGATTATCCCCTAGTTAAGAACAGCAGAAGGGAGAAGCCATGTCAGAATGTGGGTTGATAGGGTTGTAGATTAGAGAAAGCTCTTATGTAAGATTGAGGGCTTCATAAATTGGTGAGAGATTGGCAATAAGGCTAAGTAAAAGGTAAGCAAGTTTTTGGGACAAGATAACCAAATCTTTGTAAATATTCTGAATATGTTCTGAATATTCAGGCACTTTTCTCCCTATCTTCCTTAATATCATCTTTATTATTTGGTTAGCGTCTCCTGTCAAATTGCTAACAGTATCAATTCAGTCTTTGGAGAGAAGAAATAGAAGTCTGCATATCAGAAAGAAATGATGAAAATGGACAGGCTTGTGGCTAGAGTCTGTGTTGCTGTCCCTGGCCCATGTTGCTGTCCTGGCCCCATGTGGATGCCTGGGGTCTAGACTGCAACCTGTGACCACTTTGCTGTTTGAGGGCTGTGCCACTGCCGGGACCAGGCTGAGTTGGGTGGCCAGGGCTATCATCTGGGGCCGTGGTATTGTCAGGACCAGGACTGTGGCTGAGGGCCATGTCTAGGTACATGGCCCTGCCCTATCCAGGGTCTCTGTTGATGTCTGTGGCTCCTGAGACCATTGAAGACCATACGAATGCCCTGGAGTCTAGGCTGCCACCTGGGGCCATGTTGGTGTCTGAGGGCCATGCTGCTGCAGGGGCCATGCTGGTTCAGGTAGCCTGCACTGCTACCTGAGACAATGGTGACATCCCAGCCTGGACTGCTGCCTAGGACCATGACTAGGTCAGTGGCCCTACCATAGCCAGGGTCTGTATTGATGTCCATGTCCCATGTTGCCACCAAAGGCCACATAAATGCCCGGGGCCTGGGCAGCAACCTGTGGTCATAAGGGTGTTGGAGGGCCATGCTGCCACCAGGAACATCCTGATCTGAGTGGCCTGCACTGTCATCCTGGGCCATGGTGTCATTTTGAGCCAGGGCTGCCGTAGCGGGCTATGTCTGAGTTTGTGGCCCTACAGCAACCAGGGTCTGAGTTGATGCCCCGGGCTCCTGTTGTCACCGAGGGCCATGCTGATGACTGGGGTCTGGTTGGTGACCTCGGACCATGCAGTGTCCGAGGACTACACTTCACCTGGGGCCATGCTGATCTGGATGGCTGGTGCTGCCACCTGGAGCCATGGAGACATCTGGGCATGGGCGGTGGTCTAGGACCATGTCTAGGTCAGTGGTCCTTCCAAGGCCAGAGTCCAGGGTGATGTCCGTGGCTCCAGTTGCCACCGAGGGCTCTGTAGATGCCTGGTGAATGGCCAGGCACCTGGGACCATGCTTTCACCGCGGTCATGATGATCTGAGGGGTCTGTGCTGCCACTGGAGCCGTGGTGGCATCTGGCCTAGCTGCTACTGAGGGCATGTCTGGGTCCCATGGTCCTGCTGCAGCTGGGGTCTGTGGTGGTATCCATGGCCTGTATTAGCACAGGGATCATTGGAACCATGCTGTGGTGAGCCTGCCCCACCCTTCACTGGCCCTGCCCTTTGCTGGATATTATTGCAGGCAAGCTGGGCCTACCCCTCAGGGAAGAAGAGTTTGCCCCCTGCACTGGGGAAAGATGGCCCCACCCCTCACCATAGGCATTCACCTCCCCTGGGAAGCACCCAGAGCTGACCCTGTGCTTGAGGATGCAGGCAGAGCCGAGCCTGAGGGCGTGAGAGCTGAAGCTGTCCCCCCTCATTTGCTGTGTGGTGGCATGGGTGAGGGACAGATGCCCTCCCCACTCCCATTACCACCTGCGGCAGGTGAGAGAGCTGGCCCTGGGGTGCCAAGAGTGGTAGAGCTAGCCCTGACCCTCACTAGCTGCAGTGCACAAGGAAGTAGCCTCTGCTTCCCGTCTGGGCAGCACACTAGAGCTGACCCCGCCCACCCTCCCATCTGCTGTGTAGTGGCATAGGTGAGGAAAAGATGCTGTCCTCCTACCTGCCACTAGAGCTGACCCTGTTGTCAGGTTACAGGTGAGCCAGCCCTGAGGGCATGAGAGCAGGGGAGCCTCATATGCCCCCTACAACAATCAGGAGAGAGGGCCCTGCATCTTGCCTGGGCAAAACAGTAGAGCGGACCCTGGCGAATAAGAGTGAGGGGAGACCCAGATCTGAAGGCCCCAAAGCAGGAGAACTGGCCCCACTCCTTGCTGTAGGCTGCATTGGGTAAACTAGCCTAGGCAGTGCTGGAGAGCTCACCAGGGTAGGGATGAGGGAAAGTTAGGGAGCTGACCAACCCGGTTACCAACCGGGGCTATGAGTTTGCTCACCTAACCTCTGCCTCATCTATGAACTACTGGAACATGTGAAGGGGACCAACCTACAGATCCAAAACAGCAGAATCTCCATGACACAGGACAACAACAGGATATCCAAGAGGAGCCCCGGTGAGAGCCATGACAGGTGGTGTAGGAAGCCAGAGGCCTTGAGCCAGACCAATGACTCTTGCAAGTAAAGATGGATGGACTAAAGGGTAAATTGTGTGACTCAACAGGACACACTACAGCCTCCACAGTGAGATTCTTCTAATTTTTTTTGTTTTTATTTTTGTTTTGTTTTGTTTAGTTTTTGGTTTTCCTTTTAAATTTTGTTTTGTTTTGGGGGGGAGGTTGCAAGGGCAGATGGCAGATGTGAGGGGACAGAGAGATAAGTGGGATCAGAATGCATGATGTGAAATCCACAAAGAACCAATAAAAGTAAAAAAAAAAAAAGACAGGTTTAGAAGAAAAGGGAATATGAGAAAGAGCGTAGGAAAAATGACTCCTTTATCTGAATGGCTTTTTTCTAGTGTGTTTGGTGGGAATTTCTGGAGGGGGGATTGCTATGAGAAAAGATCTCAAGGGGGAATAGAGAGGGAAAATGGTGGGGGAGGGAGAGAAAGGGGAAACAAGGAAGAGGCAGGAGGGTGGGAGGGAGGAAGAAAACTAAGATGAGTTTCAGATCTTAGTTGAAAATAACCCCGTTCTTACTTTTAAGGGCTGTCAAAGTGTGTTATTACCACATGATAAGCTGGGAATTGAGGTTCGGTTGTTTTTGCCGTCAAGCCTTATGCTAATGTAAAGATGGAATAAGAACCCATAGGAAAGAACTGCTGAAGTCTGTTCTCCCAAGAGAATTAGTGAAATGTTTATTAATAGTGACCGTAGAAAGCTATGATACTGCTGCCATTTTTTGAGTTTTTTTTTAATATTTTTATTAATTCTTGCAGACTTTCATACAATGTATTTTGATTATATTTACCCCAACTCCTTTTGTCAATGCTCTAAGATCCAGCACTGCTTCCCTGTACCCCAAACTTCGTGTCTTTTTTATTTGATTCAATAACCCATTGGGTCCAGCTTGTGCTGTCCATTTATTTCTGGATGTAGGGCACTAGATCATGGAACACTTAAAGAACACTGTTTTCCCTCCAACAAAGGCTATCGGTTCTCCATAGCTCCTCAGTTAGGAATGGGGTCTCTGGAGCCCACTCCCACTCCCTTCCCCGATAGAACACTGACTGGCTTTATCTTGTACAGGTCTTGGGCAGGCATCCATAGCCACTGTGAGTTCACGAGTGCAGTGGGCCTGCCGAGCCCAAAAGGACAGTTTTTCTCAGGTCCCCACCAACCTATGACTCTTACAGTCTTTCTGCCCCTTCTTCCTCAATGGTCTGAGTCTTAGAGAGGGCTGCTGCAATCTTTTAAAAAGCACCAACTATAGGTTTTGACCTTTGTCCTTGGTTCCTTAATATATTTCAAGATCCACCTTGCTTTCTTTACAAATACTATAAAATTTTCATTATATTTCGTTAAAACAATGTAACAGTGGCATTTTAGTGATGACTAGGTTAGGGAACACAATTTTAGAGGTTTAGAAGGAAAAAAGAGTGATCCTATATGATAAAAGATTAAAAATGTCAAATATGTCTACAGCCATACTGTCCTGAACATACTTAGCCTCGTCTGACCTCAGAAGCTAAGCAGAGATGAACAGTCTTTGCTAGTACTTAGATGTTGTGAAACAACAGAGTGAAATGTATTTACTAATCTGATCTCATGTTCTGTTTTGGGCTTATTTTCAGGCAGAAGGATTTTTGTGGAAGATGGAACTCTGTCCGTTTTCCAGAATGTGTATCCGAGCCCATCAGTGGAACCTGACCCTACAGTGCTGTATCGAAATGCCTGAAGAGGACCCACATTTCTGCCTGAACCTCCTGTCCTTCTAAAATCATGATTGTCTCAGCGGTGTTGACTGCATCCCATACTGGGACATCCAACACAACATTTGTAGTCTATGAAAACTCCCATGTGAATATTACGGCGTCTCCACCATTGCAACATCCTAGTCCTGGTCCACTGCTTAGATATAGCCTGGAAACCATGACCAGCACGGGACTTAGTTCCTTAGCAGTGAACAGCACAGCCATGACCCCGACACCAGCAGTTTTTAAGAGCCTAAACTTAGCTCTCCAGATCATCCTTTCGGCTATAATGATATTTATTCTGTTTGTGTCTTTCCTTGGAAACTTGGTTGTTTGCCTCATGGTTTACCAAAAAGCTGCCATGCGCTCTGCCATTAACATCCTTCTGGCCAGCCTGGCTTTTGCAGACATGCTGCTTGCCGTGCTGAACATGCCCTTTGCCCTGGTAACTATTCTTACCACCAGATGGATATTTGGGAAATTCTTCTGCAGGTTGTCTGCTATGTTTTTCTGGTTGTTTGTGATAGAGGGAGTTGCTATCCTGCTCATTATTAGCATTGATAGGTTCCTGATTATAGTTCAGAGGCAAGATAAGCTAAATCCATACAGGGCTAAGGTCCTTATTGCAGTCTCCTGGGCTACTTCTTTTTCCATAGCTTTTCCTTTGGCTGTGGGAAATCCTGATTTGCAAATACCTTCCCGAGCCCCACAGTGTGTGTTTGGGTACACAACTAATTCTGGATACCAGGCTTATGTGATTTTGATCTCACTAATTTCTTTCTTTATACCTTTCCTGGTGATACTGTATTCATTTATGGGCATCCTCAACACCCTTCGGCACAATGCCTTGAGGATTCATAGCTACCCAGAAGGAATATGCCTCAGCCAGGCCAGCAAACTTGGTCTCATGAGTCTACAGAGACCCTTCCAAATGAACATCGACATGGGCTTTAAAACACGTGCCTTCACCACCATCTTGATCCTCTTTGCTGTGTTCATTGTCTGCTGGGCCCCATTCACCACATACAGCCTCGTGGCAACCTTCAGTAAGCACTTCTACTATCGGCACAACTTCTTTGAGATTAGCACCTGGCTACTTTGGCTCTGCTACCTCAAGTCTGCGTTGAACCCACTGATATACTACTGGAGGATTAAGAAGTTTCATGATGCCTGCTTGGACATGATGCCCAAGTCCTTCAAGTTCTTGCCACGTCTCCCTGGTCACACAAGGCGACGGATACGCCCTAGTGCTGTCTATGTGTGTGGGGAGCATCGGACGGTATTGTGAATACTGTAACTCTGAGACATTTGGAGTCATTATGGGTCTTTACTGACTGAAATTTTTTCATATGGCTTCTAAACTTTGGGGTTTTTTTTTATAGTGTGTGTGTGTGTGTGTGTGTGTGTGTGTGTGTGTGTGTGTGTGTGTGTGTGTTTTGTAAAAAAAGAATGGTAAATACTTTGATCCTGAAACCAAGGGTACACTGTAAGAAAGTGGAAAGTGGTCACATTATGTTACCTCTAGATTAAGAAAGCTTTGCGGGGATGTGTTTGTTTAGTTGACTGGTTTTATTTTTGCAGCATGAATCAAGATTGTGCTTCATGGAACCTGCAGTTAACTTGAATTGTAGGTGGTTTTTTTGTTCTTGTTGTTTTTTTGTTGTTGTTTTGTTTTTATGCTGCTGAGGCAAGCTTGGTTGAGTTAATCAGTTCCTTTTCCTTTCCTACAAGACACTGCTGCTCTTTGCCATAATATTGGAATCAAATCCCTAGGCATCTCAGTTGGTAGATACTTAGTTTTATTTAAAAACAAAACCCAAGGAGGTTGGTGACATTTTAAAGGTTATTACAACTTACTTTGGTGCACTTTAAGAGACAATGTACAAATGAATTCAGTTGTGTTCTTAGAATTGTTTTTATATATGACATATTGTGCTTTGGGAGACATGTGCTTATGATCTCTAGGTAGGTAATTTTTATTAAACAATGTTTTAGCTGCATGTCCAGTTTTAAAAGGAACACAAATACATAGGGATTTTTCTAAGCACTAGTGAGTTTTCAGAGCACCAGGGAACCACCGAGGAGGCACAGCACTATAGCAAATTTCAGGGAAGGAGGAGCAGAATGAGAGGGTGGCTGGTCCAACTTGTGGCCATCTTGCTGATTCGCATATTCTCACCAAGTTCAGAGAGAAGAGGCCACCACTATGCAGTGGTGCTGTATTCAAGGTGTTGTGCAGTGCTCTGCCCTCGTAGCTTTCTGTGAGGTAGGTATCACTTGTTTCCTTTTTAAGATTAAAGAAATACAAGTTTCCGAGGGACAGAAATCCTGCCCAGAGGTTTTGGTAGAGCTGGGCTCCAAACATCTGAGATGCAGATACAGCTGCTCCATTGTGCCACATAGACTCCTCATTCATTTTGAACCTGTCGTAGTCAAGGGGGATGTTACATATTCTTCTCTTCTCTTCTCTTCTCTTCTCTTCTCTTCTCTTCTCTTCTCTTCTCTTCTCTTCTCTTCTCTTCTCTCTCTCTCCTCTCCTCTCCTCTCCTCTCCTCTCCTCTCCTCTCCTCTCCTCTCCTCTCCTCTCCTCTCTTCTCTTCTCTTCTCTTTTTGAGACAGGGCTACCATGAAGACCAAGCAAGGTTTGAAGTTGCTGTGTCTGACTTGGAGTTTCTAAAGGAAGCAAATGACTTTGGCTAGGGTCTGAAGATCAATATAAATATGAAAATAATGTGATTTTTCAACCTATAGAACAAGCGACTGACAGTTACTGAGTGCTTAGTACAGCTGGGGGTGGATCTTGCCCTGGCAGCTTTGGAGGTTTCCAACTGTCTAGCACACTCTAATGTGGTCTGTAGTGGGACATTTTGCCTCAGTGCTTGCCTTAGTAGAGCTGAAGTTTGTGAACTTCAGAGGTGTGTCTTCCCAAGAGAAGGGAAGATAAACCCTGTGCTGAGCGTAGATTAACTTTACTAGGTCAGGTTTTGGAGTTTTCATTCTTTTTCTTTAGGTATCTGCCTGTCCTGGTACCTCCAGGACCTTGGTCAGCTTCCCTCTGTTACTAGTGGTACACCTTATAAAATAGCCAGCAGGGTGGAGCTGCAGATTAAAACCACCAGGGCTGAAAAGTAGCCCTCTAACTGCACTCTGGGCTAAGGGAGCACTTACCATGGATGTATAGCACCTTTTCAGAATTTTCCTGCTTTGTGAGCCATTGGGAAAAATAAGCCTGTGCTTCCTCAACTATAAAAACCCAAGCTGGATTACAGGAATTGTTGATATCTTATCCAACCCTGAGGGTTTTTTGTTTGTTTTTGTTTTGCTTTCCATATGTGAACATAGTTGGAAGAGCCCGGCCTACTTCAGGACTATTGTCTGATCTCCAGTATTACTTTACATTTGCTTTGTTAGCTCTTTCTTATATGGTGTCTAAAGAGCTCTGGCATGGTCATCAGGAATTGGGATGTTGGCGCTTCGTTGACAGCACCAAAGACCTGGGAAGTCCTGCTCTTGAGGTGATTGCAATCATGTTGGAAATCTCCTGTCTGTTTCATCAGCATTAGGGACTAGGGTACACTATTTATCACATTATGTTGAGATCATTGCATATGAGAGCCGCCTACCTCTTTAATTTCTAATTTATATTTATCACAGGTAAATACGACTTTGTCCATTGGGATCATATAGGACTTAAACACTGTAGTAGATGTTTAGCAGCACATTGAAATGCATTTTTGCTTTCCATTGTCAATATAAACTGGATTAGAAGCAGATATTAATACAGATGCTGAAAATGCAACTTTCAAGAAAGACACCACTGTGTATATTGATGCATACTGGTAACTCTTGAGACCCTTTTGGGACTGTAGTTGAATGGAGTTTCACACTCTCTATTCTTGTTCATGTACAGTTGAAGGTACTCTCTTCTGGTTTGGAGGCAGCTACACTTAGCCAGTGCTCTGCAGAGACTGCTGAGCCAACATGGGAAGCCATGGGGAAGGAGACGTTGATCAGCAGCTCTCTTTACACTGGCTAATCTGTTCAGATGACAGTTTACAGATCACTTTAAATATTTTTGTACTTTTTGAAAGCTTTAGGAGAAAATATGGTGCACCATCAAGGAATTTAGGCACAAAATTGCATGTTGCCAATTATTCCATTTTTTTGATGGGGAAATACCACTATTAACCATTGCTGGCTGACATAATCAGAAATTATTTATTTTTCCTCCTAGCTAATGTGATGCATGAAAGATATAAGAAAATATTCGTTGTCAAAAAAAAAGAGTAAAGAGAAATTTCAAATAGTTGGCAGTAGTGATATTTAAACTTTAGTAGGCATTTGAATATCCCTGGGGAAGGTCAACAATACAAATTCCTGGGCCTCTGGGTCAGTGGTTGGGCACAAGAATGTTTATTTTTATTATATTGAGTGTTTTGTCTGATTCTGGTTCAGATGGTCACTGGGGCATAGTTCCATGAAACCATCCTGTAGAAAATAAGTGTATCATTTAAATACTGCCTGTTTTATCTTAAAGCAGCCGTGTGTCGGAAGCCAATGGTGATCCACAATGAAATAAAGTCTACATGGTTTGCGCACATGGTCTCCATGTGAGCTGGTGTGGATTTGGCCAGCACCAGCTTTCCTTTCACTGGCAAAGTCTGATGAACCATATGGTTTCACAGTAGGGGTCCAAGAATGACTCACTAATTGTAAGTCATGACTTCCAGAAGGCTAATTAGTATAGTATTTCTTTCCTGCAGATGTCTCTACAGGGCATCTCTTCATCATGTGTGATTTCCTGAAGAGAGTGAGGGGAATGTAAAGGCTCATCAAATGCCTAGCTCTCTGCTTAGAGCAGTTGTTCGCTTGAAGCATGAAGTAAAATAAAATAATCTTTTAATCTTCATACTTTTGTTGGTGACAAAGATACTTAATTTCTTTGATCTTTGCTTTGTTTACATGAAAATATCTATGTATATATCACAACTATTCCACATGCTTGCTGTTTTATTCTGTGATTATTTTTATTTGAGTTTAAAGTACTACTAGAGTCAAATTTATTTCCATAACCATAATTTTGATGAACTGCCTTCATTGAAAACTCAGTTTTTATAATAATGAATAAAAATATCAAAGCACATGTTTGTTATTGCAAGTAAATGTTAATACATTTCTTAGCTATCTATAGGTACTTGTCGTTTGTAATTAAAATTAATTTATTTTAAAATTGTACCTAGGCTTTAATGAATAAAAAACTTTTAATTTGGGGTTATAACATTTAAATCTCAAAAGTATGTTTATTTGCTAATATTCTTATTACAACCAAGAAAAGAGCTACCATAAGAAAATGAATAAATGTTTAATATTTCTAAAGTGGACTTTTTTTGTTTTTTGATTTAAAGACTTCATTTCATCCTAGAAAACTTTATTACAAATAATGGAAATCCAAGTTTCATTTCAAATTCCGCTCCCTTTGGAGTCTTGACTTTAAGTCTGGTCTGTTTGTGTAACTGGGTTCCAGTTTTAGAAGTTCTCAGAGTAGTTCTGGCTGGAATGAAACCTGGCAAAGGACGACGACGACGAGTATTAGGAAACGGTGAGGAAATTCTGTCCAGGGGAGTTGTGAAAATGTACTGCTGACTCATTTAAAATGATTAACATTTGTGGAGCAGAGAACGCTGCTATGTGGATGAGATGATTCATGCTGCAACTCCAATTCCAGAAGTCCCTTTAGGTAAATACAGAGAGTATTTATCTGATGTGAGGACCTGGCTTCCTCTTTCATATGCAGCTTATGTATTTCTTCTTCAAACTAACCAAGGGAGGTTACATTGACTGTATAGTTACTGTTTTCTTCTGAGAGAAATAGGTAAGAGAGATTTAAGCAAAAGAGAGTAACGTTGTATTTAAGCCTACTCCCATCTGTGAAAATAATGGATCTAGCAATTTTTACCTTGAAACATCACAATGTAGGCAGTTGGCTTTACTGCAGAATGAAAACAGTTTCCGTGGCTGTGTGGAGTCAGAGCTAACCAGAAAGAGAACTCCAGTAGGAGATTAAGACATTTATTGAAAAGACATAATTGTAGAGCTGGCTATGCAGAGCCAAAGGGCAGAACTGGACAGACAGACTGGTTCAAAAGGGAAGTGTCCACTGCTGGAATTTCTTCTTCCTTGAAGAAGCCTTAGCTCCTGCTTTTAAGAATTTCAATTGACTCATGCCAAGGATTTACCTGCCCTTCCTCCCCATTGTTAGGATGACATGAACATGCCACTAAGCTTGACTTTCTTTTTGTTGTTGGTGGTGTTTTGTTTTGTTTTGTTTTTTGTTTTTTCTTCCATGTGAGTTCTGGGGATGAACTTTGGGTCCTCATTCTTGAAAGGTAAACACTTTACAACCTGCCTATTTCTCTATCCCTCCTTAATGGAGTCATTTTTGTTGATATGGAGGAGAGTAATGGAATTTTAAGTTATTTATGATTTCATTATGTTAATCAAACAAGCCTAAACACTGAAAAAAAGGATGAGTTTATAGAGAACCAAATAGGCCGATGTGGTGAGGTTAGGAATTACTGCTTCTCAGTGGTTGGACCAGTAATAGGATCTCAGCCTGGGCTTCCTGAGAGTCCAAAGCTGAGACTCCTCCCTCTACCTGTTCTGGAATTCATAGCTATCACCTTTGCTTCCTGGACTGGAGTCTTGGGAAGTTGCCTGTCTGCAGGCATTTCTTTCTGCTTTAACGTCTTTCTGGACCATTCTTATTAGCCTTGCATCTGTGAAGGACACAGAAAACATTTTTCCACAACAGGGAGAAAGACAGATTTTTCTTGTGCAACTTCACCTACAGTATAGTCTCAAAAGCTGTAATTATCTTAGATTGTAAGAAACCACAATATTTTAGGTTACTCTATGTGAAGACTACCATTGCTGGGCAATAAATAGGTTCTACGTGATCTTCCCTGAGGCAAATGGCTTCTCATGAAAACATAGTAAAACCAAATAGAGATCTTTGAATAAAGTACAGAAGTGTAATGTCTCAGGTATTTGATAGTAACAAACACATGCTCTCTCAGCCATATCTCCCCCTTCTTTTCCAGTTCACAATTTCCTGGATATTACCATTCCTGGTGGGGAGGGGCACTGTGCTTGTTCACTATTTCTCTGACTTCTTTCATGGCTGCTTACACAGAGTAGTATCCACCAAAGTCTACAAACAAACCTTCTGATAACAGACTCTGGGCAAAAGTCATAGACTCTAAGCTATGAGAACTGAGTCAGGACCCAGGTAGTAAGTCTTGCAGTCCAGTTATCCATTCTACTGACTTGCTTCCTTAACATGAGGAGAAAGTAATACTGGTTGTTGATTTTGTTTTATTTTTTCCCCTGATGTATGAAGTAAGGTGGGGAATGAGTGTGCCCAGTGGAAATGGTTGCTACATTTTTATTTGCTAGACCTGAAAACCGAAAGAATGGTCTACATGTGTATACATGGGTTTGACCCTGTGATCTCCAGTTCATAGCATGGAGGAATCTCTCTGTCCCCATTCCTTTAAGGCTGGTCTGTGACTGTCTGTTGTCTTGAGTAAATGTGCAAGACCCCTGCTTTTCAAAGGACAGAGGGACGACATGACTCATGATGTCACTGAAGCATGCTCATTCCAAGGGACTGTATGTGCCAAGGACTGGGTATGGCAGCATGGGAACTGTGCTGCCTCTGTTCTGTGTGGTCTCAGTGTCTCTGTGAATGAATGATAATGGTGCTATGGACAAAATGTGTACCGTAGCTTCCCCTGTCATGAAAATGTGGCTGGGAAAGATTTCTATTGATGGTGTTTGACATCCAT